GTGTTTCAATAGTCCACGCTCATCACAGGTTTCAGGTTTGCTGAGAAGGAGTCATGCGGTGGGGCCAGGGCCCCTCAGGACTTGCTCCAGGTGTAGTCCATGCCCCACCCCATGACACTGTCTCAGCCAAACCAAACCTGTGATGAGTGTGGCCCATTACAACATGCCTGGAGCATGCTGAAGGCAGGCTTCGAAATGACCTGTTATTTTAGAGGGTGCCCTGGATCTGAGAGGGTAGCCTTTCTGAACCATGGAGCCCTTGGCCGCCCGTGACTCTCCTCTGCCTCTCTGATTCTCTTCAGGAGCTTGAACGCCTTAACCAGGTGCTGGAGGCCGAGAAACAGCAGTTTGAGGAGGTGGTGCAGGAGCTACGGATGGAGCAGGAGCAGATCAAGAGGTGGTGGAGGTGGCCCACAGGGGAGAGGGGATGTAGAGGAGGGCACATGTTCTTGGACAGGTTTGAAGAGACCTTCACCTGGGAGACACTCAGGAATGGATGACTTGGTCTGGGTGTTGGGGGATGTCCAGAAGGAGATGTAGACTCCCACAAACGGCTCGTCTCTGCCCACGGTGGAATATGAGGTGTGGGCACATGCAGAAGGGTCTCCCTCCAAGCCACATGCCCCTCCTGCCTGCATGAAAGCCTTTATTTTCCAGGGTCAGACAGTGGGCAGCTACTCTAGAGGTGGGCTTAGCCAGCCTTCCCTGTCTTTCCTGCCTGACCTTTCAGTTTGGCTCATGATGGTGCACCATGGTCTTTAAGCACATGCATGGTTTGCAAATCTAGTTGCACATTAGTCTACTGAAGTCAAAGTATAGTCCAGGCACCCATATTTTTAAAAGCTTCCCAGCCATCCAGGGATGGGGGGACCCTCCTGGTCATTATCATCACCACAGGATGTAGGAAGATGTTTCTTGCAGCAGCCTTAGGAAGGCAGTAAAACAAAATCGACTTGTATTTGGAGGAGGGAGATGTTCAGGGGGTCTTACGAAATGAAGTGCCAAGCTTCCAGAATTGTCCCCCTCACTGGAAGAGAGGACACGGCCCCTTCCCTAGTTGGGGAAACCAGACTCACACCTCGGAACCATCCATGCAATGGGATGTTATCAGGTGCTGCAAGGCCGAGGGCAGATGCCCTTCCTTGTAGGGGCTTCAGAAAGATGTGTGATTCATTGGCTCGACTAGAGGCTAAATAGCGCTGGGCCTTGGTGTGTGCTGGGGCTTGGAAAGTTGGGGAAAAGGGAAAGGCATTTCCAAGCCGGAGGAGAAATGAGTGAAAACTTGAGGTGACCAAGGCTTGTTGAGAAGGCAGTAAGGAGTGTGTCACCTCTGAAAGGGGCCTCACCATGTCTTCGTGACAAAGTTTGGGTTCTTGTGGGACTTTCTATAGGGAAGACATGGGTGAGCCCAGGGCTCCTTTGCTTCTCCCCCGCTGCACCCCTCTGCCCGGGGGGGTAGAGGGGGTGGCCCTGGGTTTATTCCTATGGGCAGACACCTGGAACAAGCGGTTCCAAACCCACTGTGATGGCAGCTGCTTCTTTTGTTTCTTGGCCCCTACTTCTGTTGTTGGAGCCCAGGATAACGGGGTGGGGTGGGGGCTGGCCTTTCAGTGCCCCCTGAGTCATGTGAGGTGGTGAAGCAGAAGCATTCCTGTAGGCAGAGGAGGTGGGAGTGGATGGGCCCTGCCAACCCCAGCCCTCCACCCCTGCAGAGAGCTGGAACTCACAGCAAGATGCCTCAAGGGGGTAGAGCAGGAGAAAAAGGAACTGAGGCACTTCACGGAGTCCTTGCAGCAGACACTGGAGGTAAGGGGCCCTGCGGGGCGGGGCGGCTGGTCTAGGGCCCCGTGAAAAGGATTTTCCAGAGGAAGTCTCTGCGAGGGGCATGGGGCAGGGAGGGAGGCTGTCTAGTGGCTTTCTTCTCTGTGGACCTTGGGTGCATGAGGCCCAAAGCGACCAAGGCAGAAGGACAAAGGCCAGCTTGTCCTTGCGAAGCTTGTATTCTGATTCCAGCTGGAGGACCCATGAGCGCAGGTGGTGGGCACCCACCACTTCCTCTCGCGGTCCATTCGCTTAGCAGTTGGCCAGCAAAACCGAGCAGGGAGAGAGCCGGATCACCAGTCACCTTCATTTGACACCACAGAAGCGGAGTTGCGAGGGAGGTGGCATGTGGAAAGGACAACTGTGAACGCCTTAGCGTGGCAAGAAAGTGGCAGCTGTGGTCCCAGCCGCTCCTCTCCTCTCCTCCTGCCTCACTTGCCCTCTACTGCCCCCCTGAACTCTCCACAAAGACCCCCCCAGCCCTACTTCACACCACGGTGCCTATCCCCAAGAAGCTGCGATCTTCCATTCCTCCGTGCCTGGGCCCATGCTGTTCCTTCTGCACAGAAGGGCCTTTTCCGCTCTTCTCTGCCTGGAGAACTGATCCTTCTTCTATTGCCCTGCTCAGATCTCACCTCAGTGAAGCGTCCTCCACTCTGCTGGGCAGATATGGCCTCTGAGCTTTGGGCTGCCACAGCATTCTGTCAGTCTGTTACAGGACTTCACCTACTAGATTGTTCTTTCCAAACTATGAACTTCACCAGCCGGTGTCTGAGTGGCTGTCAGCACTCAGCGAGCCTGGCATATCATGAGAGACTTGTGCATATTGATGGAAAACCTGGGCTGCCTTGAAGGCTGGGACAGTTCCTTTCCTTTCTACCTCCAACGATTAGCCCTTGCTTTGGTTCCTTTATTTATCCTTCCCTGTTTCAGGGCCGGGAAGGTAGTTCCCACCGAAATTTTCAGCCCCAGAATGTTCGTGCAATGCCCAATCCCAGGCTGATCAACGGAGAGAACATAGAAGTCTGCTTTGGGGCTGGCTCCTCTTCCATGTGTTTCACCACATCTCCTCAGCCCACCAAGAAGGACCAAGGACCCCAGAGGTCCAGGGTACTCTGGGGCCTGGGGACTCCGTTTTAGTAAATGTCACCTCTCCCTGCAAGCCACCTTGGGATCCTCCCCGGCTTCTCCCATGGAGCTGAAGGAAAAGCGAAGATAGCTCAGGTGGTCCTCCCGGAGGACGGAGAGAGGAGGGTGCGACTGGAATTGGAAGGCAAGCGAGGGGGCAGCTATGGTGGAGAACCATCCACTAGACTCGTTCTCCCCCTTCCCTCCTGGCTCCAGGAACTCTCCCTAGAGAAGAAGAAGACCCTGCAAATGCTGGAGGAGAATGAGACCCAGCTGCAGACTCTGGCCACCCAGAGCGAGCAGTCCTCCCCCTGCGGGGGTCTGCACAGTAACCTGAGGCAGATCGAGGAGAAGATGCAGCAACTGTTAGAGGAGAAGCTCCTGGCAGAGACAAGGTGAGGTAGCCCACGGGCAACTGAAAAAACAAACTCGCTGCCATCGAGTCAGTGCTGACTCACAGCGACCCACCGTGGGGTCGGGACCCCGTAACTGTTTACCGAAGTAGAAAGCCCAGTCTCCTCCCATGGACCCCTGGTGGCTTCAAACTGCCAACCACGAGGATCACAGCCCAGCTCATAGCCACTACACCACCCAGGGCTCCTCTGACCATCATTAGGGACATGATGGTTTTCCTCAAACTGATATGTGGAGTCTGGTGCCACTGACCGAATAGGCCACTAAATTCCTTTTGCCTAGGACTCAGTTTCCCCGCCAGGCAAGCGATCACAGAACCCAATGCTGATTCAAGAGTGATCTCTTGCAACGTTGTGGCCCGTACAAATTGCCACGAGGCCCTTACAGCAATGCTTTGCAGTGGACTGGACAGGGACTCAACCTCTTTTGACAGATAAGGAAACTGAAGCCTAGTGGGGTTGTAAGGCTTCCCTGAGGTCTCTTAGCTAGCGACCCCCAGGGCCAAGACGAGTCTCTTAAGTTAAGGGAACTGACTAGACCCTCTCTCTCATCACTTGGGTGACATGCCCCAGGAAGTTCTGGGCCTCACTGAACCCGGACCTCGGGGTTCCTCCAGCCCAGCCTCTAAGGTGAGTCCTGAGTGCCTCCTCGGCTCCGGCAGGATGAAGGAGAACGAGGAGCGCTCACGGGCCCTGGAGGAGGAGCGGGAGTTCTACTCCAGCCAGTCCCAGGCCCTGCAGAACTCGCTGCAGGAGCTGACCGCAGAGAAGCAGCAGGCGGAACGGGATCTCAAGGTGGGGGCCCAGGCCCGCCAGGGCCCGAGTGGGCTAAGGGGTCTTTCCCTCACCAGGCGCCCGCATGTGTTCCACCGGGCCCCACACCCTCTCACTTTACTTGAATGATCTCTGCGGCCCCGCTCTGCCGCCATGGCCAGGTGTAGCGGGGCCTGACACTTCAGTGGGCCCTCATGGGTGGGCACCTGCTGGGTGCAGGGCTGCGTTCCCACCACCTGGGAGAGGGTAAGATGTAGAAGCAAGGATGTGCCAAGTCTGAGGGCACGAAAGCTCCCTCGGGCCGGGGGTACCCAGAGGAGGCTGGGAGGTGGGGCTATGAGAACCGGCCTGTACCCTCAGGCGGAGGTGAAGGTCCGCGTGGACTTGGAGAGGAGGCTGCGGGAGGCCGAGGGGGCCCTGCGGAGCCTGGAGCAAGGGCTCAACTCCAAGGTTCGGAACAAGGAGAAGGAGGAGAGGATGCGGGCGGACGTGAGCCATCTGAAAAGTAAGCCCCAAGCCCAGCCTGGGGGCGGGAGTCGGGGGGGCGGTCCGGGTATGGGGTCCAGCACAGGCCTGGCTGCGCGCTGGGTGACTGGCGCATGGGATGGAGTTCCATCCTGTCCCAGACACCCGCCTGCAGGCCGCCTTGGGCCGCTGGTTGGGGGTTGGGGGCCGAGCGGAGCACCAGGGTTTCTTCCCCTCGCCCCCCAGCTCGGGGCACATGTTCTCTGCACCCCACCCCCCAGATGGCGGCAGATCGTGGTCACAGGGGCAGAGGTGGTTCCCGTCCCCTCGGGGAGGAGGGGTGCAGATTGCCCACCCTGCCCCATCGGGGCCCCTGGGAGGGTCGGGGCGTGGCCCATATTGCAGCGTGCGGGGCGCCCGGGCGCAGGGTTCTTCGAGGAGTGTATCCGCAACGCCGAGCTGGAGGCCAAGATGCCGGTGATCATGAAGAACTCCGTGTACATCCACAAAGCGGCCACGCGCCGCATTAAGAGCTGCCGCTTCCACCGGCGCCGCTCCAGCGCCTCCTGGAACGACAGTGAGTGTCCCGGCTGCGACACGGAGGGCCGGGTGGGCTGTGGGAGCCCCGTGGCCCCCCGCGATTCTCAGCTCCTGGGGGAGCCCGTGCACCCCAGGCGTTGGGGTGAGGCCTGGGACAGAGGCGGGCAAGCCTAGGATCCGTGGGGAGGCTGTGGGTAGCTGACCCGGGGCCTGGCGGGCCCATGTCTCCGCAGTAAAGCCATCCCAGACCTTCATGGCCTCCCAGCTGGAAGCCAACAACATGGAAGAGCTCAAGGAGGTGGCCAAGCGGCTCAGCCGAGACCAGCGCTTCCGGGAGTCCATCTACCACATCATGGCCACGCAGCCCGGAGCCCCCTCCGTGCTCCCTCGTGTTGCAAAGTGATGGAGGGCCCCTCTTTGGCTTCCCCAGTGGCTCCGGATGGGGGGTCGGGGG